TGCTCACGGCCGCGCGCGGGGAAAGGCAAAGGCCCCACTCTCCCTGTGCGGGGCCCGCTCCCAGGCCCAGCCCCCCTCGCTCGCGGTCATAGAAACCCCCCTCACACACTGGCAAAAACGACTTGCAACTCCCCTTATATTTTTTTTCCGTTTACTCTTAAACTTTCCCTTTATTGAAATTTTCCGATTCTTTACTCAAATTACTTTCACTAATGTAATATTTGATTCAATTACTATTCCATTTAGTTCCCAAAAGACAACTCAAGCGGGGACACTCATTTCTGCACTTTTTCCGATGTTTTATTTTCCAGGACCTTTCGCGGCCCCCAAAGTCGCCCTGGACGCCGAGGCCCCACGGTTACCAAGGATTCCCACCAAGGGTGCACGCGGATGCTATTTGTCGGGGTAATTTCATCGAACGTAATCGCTAAACTGTATAGAGGCTTCTTGTATACTTGAAATAAAATTGGGATGAAGAGCAGCTCTCAATTCCTGTTTGGCAAAGGCGACCACATCCATCAATTAGGCCAAAGCGAGGTGGCTGCCGCAAAGGCCAGAACCCCACCTCAGCAAAGTGTATGTCCTGAGGGTTAATCTTATACAAAATGTCTTTAGGAAATGATGTGCCCCTCCTCTCCCCTTACCCCTCCACAACCTCCGCGACACCAGCGCGTTCGTAGCTGTTGCTCTTGTGTTTCGGCGTAAATCGGAATTTATCCCCCGCAGGGCCAAGCAACATCTCACTGATTCGTATCCAATCCACCACGCTATCGCTCCCCATGAGCGTCTCCAGGTCGTTGCGGCCCACATAGTAAGGTGGACGGTCATGAATGCGCTGGGGGAGCCGCTCCAACAACCCCACCGGCACGTAGCGATGCAAAAATGAGAGCCACTCGCACAAGAAGCGCCTCGTCGTGAGGACCCCACGCTCGTCCGCGCCCCAATGCTCCAATCCAAAGCGGCAGAACTCCTTCAGCAGATCCAGCCGCTCCGAGGCGCTGATGTCCTTCAGCTGCCCCGACTTTATTTCCTCAAAAATCCAAGGCTTGATGAGCGCGCCGCGGCCGATCATGAAGGACGTAATGTGTGGCCGCGCGGCGCGATGCTGCTGAACGTCTTCAAGCGAGAAAATATCCCCATTCCCGATGACCGGAAGGTCCGTCAGCGTCGCGCAGTACTCCACGTAATCCCAGTTCGCCAACTTGGTGTAGCGTTGCTTGCGGGAGCGGCCGTGAATGGCCACGGCGGACGCCCCCCACTCCGCGTACTTGTGGATCTGCGGATGCAGCGACGGGGCGTCCTCGTCGGGGCCGATTCGACATTTGATCGACACCGGCCGCGACTGGTGCTGCGCGAGCGCCATCACCACCTCCCGCATCCGCCCCTGCCGCTCCCAAAGCCCACACCCGCAGCCAAACTTGATGATCCGATCCACCGGGCACCCACAGTTCACGTCGAGGAAGTCGTAGGTGAAGCCGGAGGCCTCGAGGGCCTGCGCGAAGATCGCGGCCTCACTCGCGCGGGCGACGGCGAGTTGGATCCCGAAAAGATCCTCCGAGGCGTGCCGCCGCAGCAGCGACCACTCGCTCTGCTGCAGCCGATTCAGGTTGTGCACCACCGCCATCTCGCTCACCGTGACGTCCGCCCCGAGACCTTTGCAGACGCGGCGAAAGGGCAAATTGCCCACCGTCGTGAGCGGCGCCAACACGAGTTTATCACGGAAGAGATCCCGCGCTTTGCTGCGGCGCCCCGCGGCGGCCTCACGCGCGGCCTCCTCGCTTTGCGGGGGCCCGTGGGGGGGGTCCAACCCCGCCCCTGCGGCATCGCCGCCGTCGCGCGGGCGTTTCCGCGGGATCGCCGCGAGCGAGGGGGGCGGCAGGGGGTCCGACGAAGACGCCCCTTCGGGCTTAACACAACCCACCTCTTTTTTAGGCTCCACGGCATTACCCTGCTTTTCGGGTTCCACGCGATCGCCCTGTTTCGCGCACCGCACCGCCGCCTTGATCGCGCGCAGGGCGGGGCCGTTGAAGAAATTTTCCTCCCCCGCCATCGTCGGGCGTTGGGTGCCCGCGACGAAGGCGGAGTGCTCGCGCGCCGCGCCTTTATTCATCCCGCGGGTGCGGCCCTCCGCGTCGAGGCTCACGCGCTCCGGCGCCGCGCGGAGGAACTCCGCTTTAACCGGGCAAACGTCCTTTCCCAAAGGAGAGGAAAGCGGGGAGGAGAGAGTAGGGGGGTCTGTGGCCTCCATGCTAAAAAATTGGAGCGATCACGATGGGGTTGGGCAAAAGAATGGCCACCCTGTTAAGAGGGCAGTGGCTTTTAGGGTGAATGGGGGTATGACTGAGGGTGGCGCCCCGGCAGACGCGTACCGTCTTGACTCTGGGAAAGGGAAGAAATTAGAAAATGTATCTAGGCCCGACAAGAGTCGTTCTTGTGTATTACACATTCTGTGTAGATATTAGCAAATAAAAAAAGGTGGAGGAAATTATCAGCATAGCATCGTCGGTTGACGTTTTTTTTAAAAAATACCCCCTTTGCTTCGGTTAAGAAGTTCTCGTTCGCTCTGCCGTCGTCCAGCATTAGAAGGATAAGAGGGAACACCACAGCAAAGGGCTGCGTAGGAGCGGCAGTTGATTTAAAAATATGAAAGTGCTCGATACGGCAGGTGCATTTTTTTTTCTTGAATACCAAGCAAAAAGAATAAATCATACCTCAGTAAGCACTACCCCTCCTCCTCCAACCCGCGAAAAAGTAGTCTTGAATCCCCCCCCCCCCGAGATCTTATCAACGCGCGCCCGCTCAATTCTCCCGCAGCTGCGCGATGTCCATCCCCATATCCGCCGGGCCGAACTTGTGCGGGATCAGATCCGCAAGCCGCATCACCTTCACGTGCTCGCGATCGCGGGCAACCAACACCACCTCGAAGCTGTCTAGATTCCCGGAGAGGTCCGCCACCTCGACGAGGAGCTGCCTGCACAACCCGCACGGCGGGCAAAAAACCGCTGCGGAGGTCTCCTCCGACGACTCCGGCGCCTGACGAGGGGTGCCGTAGATCGCAATCGCCCTGGCGGTTCGCCGGCCCTCCACGTTCGCCCGCACAATCGCGCACCGCTCCGCGCAGCAGGATTGTAGGGTGCAGTTCTCGTAATTACACCCCGCCGTGATCGCGTGATCGGCGTGCAGCAGCGCGGCCCCGACGGCGAAGTTCGAATACGGCGAGTAGCTTCGCCGCATCGCCTCCACGGCGGCCTGCGCGGTGGCCTCCAGCTCCTGCGGGAGTTGGCATAGCTGGAGGAGCTGATTTCGCGCGTACGGCACGCTCACACGTGGGCTTTTCATTGCTTCTATGGTTAATAAGGAAGTCCGCTCCGCTTGCACACGCTCGTAAAGTTCAGTAATAATCCGGAATCGATGATGGATCGGTAATACCCTCCCCTCATTCGATAGGAGGTTGGTAAGGAAAGAAAATGGATGGAAGAGGGTAAAAATGAAAAGTTCTGTTGTTGCTTCTCGCATCCAGATATTCCATTTCGGGAGAAAAAGATCCACCTCACAACCAACCAGCGCAGCAGCAGCAAACAAATAAGCTAATAAAGCTACAGAGGAATCTCCAGTCGCGTTGGCACGAGAGGAACATAGAACAATAAAAAGAAAAAAGATACCTCTTACGTTCTTTCTATCACCTTTGTGTTTGCCCATATGCTGGTCACTGAATATATATAAAAGAAAAAAATACGCATGAGTTAATTCCCTTGTAAACCACGTTAGTTTGAATTCCCTCCGACGTTCATTGGTCTGCGCTTTACCGCAAGGTGATTCACGCAACATGGGCGGGTTCATCCACAACCATGATAAATAGGCTTGAGGACGCCATAATATTCATTATAGGAAATATAATAACAGGCTGAGCCTACAACTGCACACAAAACCGCGAGGGTAGAGACAGAGAAAGAAAAAGAAAAGTCCGAAGCCTCTCATGCCATTCCACCACCGTCCTTGTTTCAATCCCTATCGGGGTGGGAGGGGGCGCGCCGTTTCGCGAGGCCGGTCGTCCTCGATATCCTCTCGACGCGCCCCCGCGTGTGGATGAAACCCCATCCCCTGCAATGTCCCCCAATACCCCATGATAAAATGCCCAATAAACGCCAAAAGGGCGTAGCGCGAGACGATAAACGACGGCCCCAGCGACCCCTCCCCCACCACGCGGGAGTCGAGGGCGCGGCAGAACGCCCCTAACGGCATCATCGTGCTCACGCCGAGGCCGTCGTACACCGCCGCCACCTCCCGCCACGTCACCCAGCCGTGGCGATGAAGCCGCGAATATTCCGCCACCTCCGTCGCGTTCTCTTTCGTTTCCTCTCGATCACCTCCCTCTTTTCCGCCGCCTCGCTTTCGTCGTCGACGTTCACGGTCGACGGCGGGAGAGCTCCTGCTCGTGGAAAAGCCGCAGCAGCCACCGCGCGAAGAGCGCCTCCTGCTTGGGTGGAATCGCACCAAGGAAAGGCGCCTCGTCTTTGGAAATCCCCTTCCTCGGCCCGTCCTCCAGCTCGTCCGTGAGCCTCAGGATCCAAAGCAACGGGAGCCGACGGCGGTTGAGGTTCACGGCAAGGATTCCCCCCCACCCGCCAACGTGGCGGGCGTGGTACGCGCGGGCGATCCGTCGCCCCTCACGGAGGCATCGCCGCCAACTCTCGAGGGCGGCGCGCGCGTGAAGGAGCTCGCCGTTCTTTCCCCCACCCCCCATGTCGTAAAGCGGGAGAAATCCTCTCGGCTGAACCGGCCGTCGCCGTCGTCGTCCATCACGTAAAGCAGCGGGAGGCGATGCAAGTCCAACCAAAGCGCCTCCGGCAGGTACGCCAACGCACTACGGAGGACGTCGAGGGTGTAGGAAGGAGGCGCGGAAGGGCTGCGAGGGAGGCTGCTGCCAGGGGGCGCGGTCCGCTCGCTCGCGTGGGAATCGGCAAGGGCGGGACCGGGCGGGCCGCACGCGCGCATGGGGACGAAATCCTCATCCGCCGCGCGTTGTTGGATGGAATCAACCTTATCAAGGGCGACCTGCACCGCGGAATCGGCATACGAGACCGCTTGCCCCATCAAAATCTACCCCACTCTCCCACCTCTCTCTCTCCCTTTCTCATTCACACACGCACACACACCTCCTAACACAATGAAAACTCTGAAAGTACGAACCCTCAACCCTTTCACTACGAAAGTAAGTCTTATTGCACAAACTCAAGGGCCGTACGTGAAAAGGAATATTATATAAAACAGAAAAGGATTGAAGCTCCTTTTCTAAAATAAAAATGAAACAAAAAACCTCTGTCACGAGAAATCTTTCAAAAATTAGTTTCTGATTTCCCTACAATCTCTGAAAAACACACACAGATCTACTATGTTCATGATAACCGCTGTAGTTTTCCTTCGTGTATACCGGGAAGACACAAAAAAAAGGAGGTAAAAACACAAATCAGCTGAGCAAATCAACATACCATACACTGCATCTAATGATTCTCCCCTCACTATTCAATGGCGATAACCGATTTCGTTTGTGTTCTTTTCTCTCTACCCATCGTTTCGCACTCTACTTTTTGTTTGAAAAAAGTACCAATACAATAAAAAGGAATAAAGAAACAAAAAGATGATAACGAGCATTTACCGCAAAAAGTGATGGAGAACGGGGCAGGAAGGCTGTAAGGTGACCGCTATACATGCCGCTTCTGGTCATACCAGATCCGACCCACCCTCCCGCTCTCCTTAAAGAGGTGCCCTAAACATTCATAAGTATAAATGACAGAAAAGCAGCGTATACGATACAACGGACCTCCTGAGAGGCGATCAAAGAACGAACCTCCCCCACGTATTCTTTTACCTCATGTAAGGAAAAAGCAAGGAAGAAAAAAAAGGAAGCTAAGGAGAGGATCTCCGCTTCGGGGTTCTGCCGCTCCCCTCTTCTCCCTATTTCTTTCTCTTTTGGATTCACCACTTATGCCTGATAATCGACACCACCACCGTCGCGAGAAGACAGAGCAGGATCACCACCGACATGCACACAACCACGCGATCCCGCATCTGGCGCCGCATAAACACCCGCAGCTCCTGCCCGGCCTGGTGGAGCTCCGCGCGGGCGCCCCCCACCCTCGCGTGGATGTCCTCAATCTGCTCCGTTTGCGCGTGGAGAAGCGCGGCGGTCTCGCCGGCGATGGCCTCCGTCTCGCCCAGCCCCCGTTCCGTCCGCGCCAACGACGCCAGGGTGCTCCGCTGAAGACGCACCAGCCGACGCCGTGTCACAGCGGCCTCGTCCTCCTCGTCCTTTCCTTGGTCTTCGTCTGCGTTGGCCTTCCTTGTCTTTCCCTTCTCCTTGTCTTCATGGGTGTCCCAAACGGTTGGGACAGCCGTGGCGCGGGGCTCCATCGCGTGGAGTTCGGCCTGCAGCGCCGCGAGCGCGCGGCCATGCGCGGCGACGTGCTCCGCGTACAGATGGCGCTCTGGAT